CCAGATTCTTGAGGGCAGTGTACTCTACTAGTCAGTGATCTGTCACTTGTCCTTCTCCCAGGTCTGTTTGCCCGCAGGTCAGAGACGCAGTCTCCTTTTCTAGCCAGTCCCAATCATATCCTCAGGCTCTGCAACTGAGTGCCACCCTCCTTGCATCCAATTGTTAATCTCTAAGGCCTGGCTCCATATCCCACTCCCTCCACACTTGTTGCCTCGCCAGCCCCAGATCCAATGCTCTGAATCTTTTAGTCTCAGTCTCCCCCACCACTCCTGGTCTACTCCCCAGGCTTTTTGTCCCGGTGTCCAAACTGCCTAACCAGTCCCAGTCCAGTCCTTCTTCTCTAACCCAAGCATCTCTCTCTCATCCAGTCTTACTTCCAGTCATCACCCCTTCTCCCTAGTGAATTTCCAGTCTCCTTGTTCATAGTACTAGTGCCTCCCTCCTGTCCCCCAGTTCTTGATCTTGTGCTTCTACCTGCCCCTCCCTAGCTCTTTGTCCCAGTTCTTTTACTGTGCTGCCATCTCTTACCCTCTATCTGGTTCTTGTCCCCTGTGCATTTGAATTAGTTTGCTTTCTAATTGCTGGCTGGCTGCCAGCTTGGGGTATGTAGAGATCCATCAGTCCTTGTGCCTCCTGTCACAGAAGCCCTCAACGGCTGGTAGTAGCAGCGGCAGGATAAGTTGTGTTCAGCTTGTATTCCCTACTTAGTACAATTCAGAGAATTTATCTGAGTTCAACTTCTAAACTAAAGCCTACACCAAACGTGCATGCTAAGATCTTTTATAGTCCTATAGATTGGCCAAGTTTGGGTGTATGTTTTTTATTCTGTAGGACAGTAAAGAAACAAACAAACCCAAAACCCAACATATCCCAGTCTTAGGCACATAGGTAGGGTATCTTGTTGATGTCCCTTAACATTCTTATAATATTCAGAAAATGATTTTGATGTCTCCGAGTCTCTAAGAAATTGGATGAATTGCCAAGCCAATGTTGTCTATAGATAATACATAACATGCATGCAATGGATACTAAATACTTTACTTTTTGCTTGTACTAGCAAAAACTCGTGCTGCTGACTTATTGGTTAATCCCCTGGATCCAAGAAATGCAGATAAAATTAGAGTTAAAATTGCTGACCTGGGAAATGCTTGCTGGGTGGTAAGTATAAAAATCTAATTTTAAGTATTTAGCCTGCGTTGTTTGGCACAGACCCTTTTATTGTTCATTTTTTCCATTAATTTAATTCTTTCCATTTTAGCATAAACACTTCACAGAAGACATCCAGACAAGGCAGTATAGATCCATAGAGGTTTTAATAGGAGCAGGTTACAGTACACCTGCTGATATCTGGAGTACAGCATGTATGGTAAGAATAAAATATGCTGTTCTATTATCATGTCAAGCAAACCTTTATTTTACAAAAAAAGTTTATAAATTACAGAGCAGTGGGTCTAACAAAATAATTAATTTAATATTTTCTTATGAATAAGTCTTATTTTTCTTTTATATCAACTTATACACTTTCATACTAAAACTAATGCATGGGTTTTTGGTGAAGAGAAATATTTTTGATAAAGTTTTTAATTGGACAAAAAAATTGAAATGAGTTTTGGAGGACATGTGCTTTAATTTTTGAAATGTCTAACCATATATCTCATTGAAATGAGTCTAGCACTTATTTCTGTTTGTATTTACAATTGACAAAAAAATATGATTTCTCCATTCCTTTTTCCCTATAGCAGAAAAACCTAAAAAACACTTTGAATTCTCATTTATTTCTGATGCATAAGGTTTTAGGATCAGTGCCTTGCATGTAAACTCAGTGCAAGGATCTTGTTTTGGAGAAATCTCTTCAAACACAATGTAGGAAATCAATTCAGAGGTATTTATCCAACCTTTCTCAAGTTTATGTGCACAAAGTCTCATTGACAAAAAATATATAACTAAATCTTTATATTCTGCTCAACATTATTTTTGAGGTAGAACATATAAGAAAATCCAGCAGTGGAGAGAAATCAAACAGAACTGTGCTACGCTCATCTCACTTAGATCCACTAAAGAGGGTGGACTTTAGGGACCATATTTTCTTGCATACCATACCCCCTTCAAATAATACATGCACCTATTTTTCTGGAGTTATGGCTATATAGAGTAGGACCAGGGCCTAGTCTTCAGATCACTTACCCTTACTTTCCTGCTTAACCAGAAGCTGAAGTTCTAGCTGCTGCTGAAGGTTGGTCTCCATGGTTGGCTCTATGATTCTGAAAGAGCTATAAGAGGCTTCAGGGTACCTGAAATAGGAGGAGAAAGACCAGGAGAAGCTAGCAAACAGCAAAATTTCTCTAAGAAGTTTCAGTGTGATTTGTGAACATCAAGACCACTAAAAAAGATAAATGTTTGTCTGGAGTGAAGAACAATGGGCCATTAAGTCAGTTGACTCCCTCGGCTGCCTGAATAGAATTGCCACTACTGCTGCCTGGTGGAGCAGGAATAAAAACAGGTGCTTCTTTTCTGGGCAGAAAATCAGCTTCCCTGCTTAAGATACATACACAAATGTGGTGGGGGGCGGGAGCTGATTTTTGGGGAAAAGGTGTGCATGGCATGCAAGTAAATACAATAATTTATTCTTTTCTTTAAATATTTTGGCTTCTTGAAAATTTAATCCAGTCTTTGAATTCCTTGCTCTTTAATGATTATTCTCTTTGTTAACTATAAATTTTTATAGGGATATTTATATATATATTCTGATATTTATATACATCATGACTTTACCAGAATTTTTTTTTAGTTTTGGGTTTGAATAGTCTTTATTCTTTTGCCATAGGGAATGAGCATAATTTGCGGGTGCTGTGCACATTCTACTAAATCTGTGGTCAGTTTCGTAGCTGAGTTTTCAGATTGCCTCAGACTGTGCAAATATTGAGTTACCAGGCCCATGCTGGCATGCTGTGCTTCCTGTTCTGGACTCCTTATTTCGTACATAGCTTTGGTCTGTGAACAAGATCTTCAGCATAACATCTTTGTATCTTGGAAGTCTGGAAGTTCTCTAAGGGCTCAGCTGTGATTCACAAGATTTTAAAGCTCTGCATGGTCTGACGGCATCTAAAGAGCTCATGAGTTCTGTAAACCAAGTGCTTCTACGGCAGACATTTAAGGTGGTGCTATATCTGCCTAATGCTTTACCAGCTATCAGTGTAAAAGCCATCTTTTAATGAGTGCTGAGCATCAGCAGTTTCCATTGAAGCTAGTAGGAGTTGTAGGTGCTGCTCAGCAGTTTGCTGCATTCAGCCATCAATAAAATACAGAACGGGGAGATGAGAGAATGGATGAAGCCTGATATTTCAGAATTTTTGATTGTACAGGGTAATGAATGCTGTCTGCAGGTACTATGTTGTTAAAAATAGCTTTTATATAGAGTCATTAATATTTTATTTTACTAGATTGGGAGTTTAATGGAAGAAAACAATCTGATAAAAGAGAATTTTACGAAGGATTAGAAGGAGGCCATAAGGAAACAGACAAGAGGAAGAATAATTTTAGAGTAAGGAGTTGAGTGATTGTTGTGGCGAAGGGTGAAGTAGCCAGTTGTTCCCATTTCTAACACATGGTATAAAATGTAGCAAACTTCATTCACTGAAATGAAAGTGGATAAACTGCCTTAGAGTATATGGTTAGGATTCATATGTATTGTCAGTAATCCTTCTCTTTCCCAGGATGTTTATCCCTATTTTAGAAAGTACAAAAAAGCTGTAAATTACATTGTGATTATCATCAGAATGCTATATTTCATAGGTGTGAAATTGTCAGTCATTAACCAATTTTAAGTGTAACGATAAATAATATGTTTCATTTGTTCAAACTCCTTTTGTGTCCATCTAGTTCAGTCCTAGCTGTGCTTTCTAATACATACTTTTTGTTTATATTATATATACTAAGTTGTTGTGGTATTTCAAAAAATAAGAAAGCCGATCTATAGCATTCGCCAGGACTGGGCAAATATGTCTTTTCTAGAAACCAAACAACCTCTCCTGTAAAGTATATCTGATTTTGATTTTGGAGATCTTTCATGTACTTGTAGGATTTTAAGGGCAAAATTGGGGTGAGAAATCCCATATTTTGATTTGGCTTTTTCCACTTAGCACCATGTAACAATGCAAATGTGTCCAAGATTCAGGCACTGCCATTCATATCAGACTGAAATGCGCTCTGATGATAGGTTTCCATTGTCTTTTCAGTTTAGATGAAGGGCACTTAAAATACATGTAGTACCTGCAGAGTTTTCACTGTGGGAAGGTATAAATTTCAGAGATCACCTTATTGAAAAATCAGTACTTTGATCTAGGCTATCCTGGGCCTGCATTAGAAGTGCCCCTCCAGCTCTATTTGCCCCTCAGGCTATGGACAGACATATATGTAAAGGATTTCACATTCTGCTTGTATTTGAAGCACTTCTAGTTTGAACTGAGTCGATATCATATGGGCTGAAAGGATAGTCAGCTTGTCTTCCCAAATGTCTTTACCACCATTCACAGTCCTGAACATGAGGAAGGACCATGAGGATCTTCCTCGACCTCCTGGAGCTGTTCCAGGTGTCCAGGTTGGGCCCAGGACCTCCTGCCTGGTGTCATTGCTGTCACTGGACAGCTGAGAGCCCCCCTTCACAAGCAGCCGTAAAGCAAGCGTTGTTCCCTCTGTTCAGGTGAGCTGTTGCACATGCTGTGTCAGGAAGCTGTCTCTGCTGCTGCCATTGCTGTTGCTGTTGCTGTTGCTGCAGACCTTGTGTGTCCCTTGAAGACCTTGTTGCAGCAAACAACCACAGGCTCAGTTCTTTAACAGAGTGTCTGCCGGGTTTATTACCTGTGCAGTGCCTACTTGCTGACATGCATGGCCAGTAGGTCACAATGTGTAATTGTGGATGCTTGTGGTAAGCTACAGGCATAACTTGCACATGGTGTCCCTAAGCCAAGAGTTTCCAGACCCTCCTTTGTACACTGATCAAAACAACTTCTGTTTACATCATATATATCCAAGTTCTCGCCAAATGCTAAAATGTGTTAACTACGTCATCTTAATCTCGCCATCCTTATTTTGATGTCCTGTACTGGTCTTATCAGCCATCATTATCCAATAGCTGCATGAAAAGTATAATTATTTCTGCACATTCTAATCTAAACCCAAAATCAGCGATACACGGTAATACCTTCCCCCACCTCCAGTGAGGCCTGCATTAGTTAATTCTTTTCAGAGAGCTTTTCTGTGAGCAGTATGTGCTCTGATCAGTGGTTGTATTAATCCATAACCCAGCAAAGTTTACCATAGTGTTTAATGGAGACATCACTGGTGAGGACCCTAAAAACATAAGGAATGCCATTGACTATGTCAGACCAAAGGCCCATCTAGCCTTGTGTCCTGTCTTGCACAGTGGCAGTGGTGGTGCTGAGTGGGGAGGGTGAACGGAGCATGCCCAGAATCTCCCGTCCCTGTTCCTCTCCCTCTCCCTCTCCCTCTGCAGCTTCCAGCATTCAGATGATGTCCTGATTCGGAGGATCCACCCTACCTACCATATTCTCCAATCTTACCGCCTCATAGTTAGCTCTGCCATCAGGCTTCTGTTTGACTCCAGCTAGTTGTGTGTTTCACAGCCCCAGATATTTTGTATGGTCTTTCTTGGATGTGCTAGAGAACTATGCTTCACTTGTCCCTTCATTTTTGCAGTTCGAGCCCCCTCCCTCCTCCAGCCCCTCTCCATGAGAGCTCCCCTACTGCCACCACCATGCACCATCCTCTCCCTTTCCCCACATGGGTGCTGTTACACAGAGAGCCAGCTTGCTGGGCCTCCCGCTATGCTGTCCTACCCTAGAGACTTCAGCCACTGTAACAGTGGCAGGGCAGGAGCCTTGGGGTCAAGTATTAACCCCCTGTGGACTAGATGCAACTGATTATCTGTGTGGACCATGGGCCACCAGTTGAACAGCCTGCTCTGAGAAAGCTGAGCCTACCTTTGTTCTGGGAGCTGCAAGGGAGCTTTTGTCTGAGGGAGGCACATTACCAAATTAAGTTTGAGTTAAGTCCTGTGAGGGCTAGCATTTTCAGGGAGATTAAGAGCAGTCAGAATGGCAGGACTGCCAGCACTACATCTATCGTGCCTGGTGCTCTTTCCTGAGCACTGCTTTCAAGTAAGGGTGCAGCAGGGGCAGTAAGTGCTGAGTCATCTGCCTAAATGCACATTTGACAAATGCTAGGAGACAGTCAGGGGAACCTGGGACAAAGAGTTCAATAGGAATGCAGCCAGGGATGGTCTCTGGGTGAATTTTACTGCAGCATTTGAATAGCAGTCCATCCAAATAACTGGTCCAGTCACCGTGA